CATGCGCGGTGCGAGGGAGGGGCCGCCGCGGTCTTTTGTCTGAGGGAAGTGGGCGCGCGCGGCCCCGCCCAGCAGGGGGCGCTCGCGCGCTGCCCCTGCCCCCCCCCCCGGTCACTCTCTCACCCGCACCCGGCGCCATTTTGTGCTCGGCGCTGAGGGGTTGCAGAGCCCGGGCTAGCTCGGGGTGTTTTGTGCCCCCGCACCGGCGGCATTGCCGGTCACAGCCCAGGGGTGATGGGAGACACTGCCTCTCCCAGCCCTGGCTCCAGTTTTCTGAACAGCCTGCGTTTAGCCAGGCATCCCACACAGACACCTGCTTCAGGGGCTGGATTCATCACCTCAGGTCCGGCTGCACCATCAGCCACTCTCCTCAATATCCAAGGAGATGAAGATACTAACGGCTCATTAGCTGCTAACAGCATGCCCTTACCTTCTTCACCAGCCCCTGACAGGAGCTACAGCATACAGCCACCTAGGTTTAATTTCATCCACTGGTAAGCTCCACACTAACAAAGGGAAAGCTGCTTTCTCCTCCTACACAAGGCAGGCAGCTCTGTGGCCATTATCCACACACCTAGCTACATTTACAATGGATAGGCACTGGGATTCCACAGCATGCATGGAGGAACAGTGGTGGGCAGCTTTAATTAGCATCTGGTTCAGCAGACACCTGTGAGAAGGAGTCAACAGGTGACATGTTAATCACCCTGAGGCATTGGGGAGCATTTGGGTTCCCTCACCACCCAACACAGGGCCCGCAACCTTGCCTGAAGCACTGGAAAGTGAAGGGAGAAGCTGAAGAAACAAGTCATACTTCCAAAAGGTCCCTCTCCAGCTTTCCTGCTTCATCTGGAACAGTAGTGAGATGCTCTGGCTCAGCTTGAGAGTGTTGTGGACACAGTGGAGATCCCTCAATGGAATTACTGCCTTGTGTTACAGGGTTACTATCCCTGGTAATTGGATTTAGTGGAGAAACTGCAGGAGGTATCTTCTGTCAGACAGGCTCCAGGTTTCAGTTTTTCCTGAGAAACATTGAGGTGCAAATCAAGGGCAAGTGTCCAGTCTAAGAACAGGCTTCTGGCAGAGGTTGTGAAGGGGAAGGCTCAACAGGGGAAAAGAGAAACAGATGTGGAGCCTTTAGCACCAGAGGTTTTTGAAAGCAGACTGGGTTGGAAATGGTCCATCTTGGTTAGAATAAAGGCCTATGGAGAGTCAAAGCCCTTGTCTTACTACAGTATCAATAACTGCAGAAGTACAAAGTACAGTCATGAGGGGAAAAAAATCTGGATTTGTGAACATGGAACACTATGAGATAGGTTTTTTCAGGTCAATAGAAACAGGTGAAGCATCTAAAACCAGGAGAATGGCTCTTTTCTGCCCATTTTTAAACTGGCTAAAAAGTACCCACTATAAATTAGTTGGAGAATTTTCCTAGGGTAGACACAGCTTCCCTCAAAAAAATATCACTGCTTTGGGGATTGTAAAATAAATACTGCAGTGCTACAAGGGGATCCATCCTTGTGAGACAAGGAGGAACAAACTGAATTTGAACTTGCAGTGCAAGCAGCTGGAGTCCAATTCTGGAACAGCAGCTCTTCCTACAGGCAGTACAGATGTACCAGGAACACAAAGATTGACTGCAAATCAGCTGAACATCCTCTAACAGGACTCTTTCTTCATCTAAAGACAAAACCAAAATGGACTCCCCACCCTCATTTAACACCTGGCTTTCTAAAGTCATCTCAAAGCTCCATTTTGCCTGAGGTCTTGGCTCGCCAGGCACCAAGTCCCTTTCGGATCCAAGAAATCGTGGGCTGGGAAGCATCATTAGCCAGTCCCAGCCACTCTTACCACATTCTGGCCATTTAGAAGATCTGTTGGCAAAGGCTAGTCAAGAATTAAATGCATCAACTGATGGATCACAGTACTACCAGTCTCAAGTAAAAACAGCAGTGATTCCTCACAGCCAGTCCTCCAGGACTGTGATCACACAAGTGAACACCTTCCTCTCCTGGCCCAGGGCACAGCCACAGAAGCCTGGTGGCACAGTACTTGAAAATAAAATACTAAGAGTATCATAAGCAGTCTTATCTAGAAAAGGCACAATGAGCAAAGTCCCAGCATCTTGCTGTTTAATTCCATGTGTGTTTAGAGACATGGAGGTACATGGATCTTCTTGGTAAACAAGGTTACTGCAAAGAAACAATCAAATCTACATCCAGCTTCTCCTTACCAACACCCTGCAGGGTCAAAAACATGGGCTGAATGTCCATGTCAGAGGGGTAGCAACTGGGAGAAGACTCCCTCCCTTCTTCAGGTGCCCTCACTCCCTACATCTTAACACACACATCTCTGGCTTGCTGCAGATCCATCCCTCTGATGCAAAGTCCCACTGTGCAGCAAGACACTCATTTTGTACTACATCTCAGGCACAGCAGCCCTCCACCTCCACTACCTGCACCAGCAGGCGCACACTGTTTTGTACTGGATGGAAGCATGATGCTGCTGCAGCAATACCAAGATGTTAACAGGAACTACTAGAGTAGTCCAAGTCCCAAAGTGCAGCTGAGTGCTCCGAGCCCCAAATGGAATGAGCTCACAGCAATCGACAGATCTTGCACTGGCCAAGAACTGCAGAGAAACACTCTATAGGCAGATTTCTTACCTGTACGCACAGCAGGCTGACAGCTGATATAGACTCTAATTACTGCACAGAGCTCTTCTGGCCACTTCATGTTCATAGGGTGGTTTTGTTTATAGGAAAAAGGATCTGTGAATTTATCCTACCATTCTAACTCAGTCCAGGCTTTTTCTTCCCCTCCATTTCTTTTGGCCCATACTGCTGCTAGGTGGAAGCAAGACACTACTTTTAACATCAAATTATAAAGGAAACCTTTAGGGAGGAAAGCATTAAGCCTTTATCTTCCATACTTGTTTCTTCATCCATAAGACAAGGCCCATTTTCCTCACAGGTGAGTTTTGTAACCTGTTTCACAACTGTATCAAGGTTTTCCCTGGCAGGTGATGCAGAAGGCAGGGGACAATTTCTCAGCCCTCACCTGCAGTGGGAATTGACCTGCAGAACCACAATTGTTATGAATTCTGGGTTATAGTGGTTTTAAGTCTGATATCCCCAGGGCCTCATCTGTCCACAAGCTGCTTCATTTCAGTCACTTAATTCAGATTAAGGATGGCTTTTGCAAAACCATAATGATCCTAGCTGAAATAAATACTCAAATTCTGCACTAGCTTAATTCCATCACAGTACTACTCAGGCCTGTTTTGCAACCTGGCCCTTAAAGTTCACCTAAACAATGGAAATGGGCTAATCCCTTCCAAAATGGTTTCCAGCAAGGAGACAGGATTGATTTTTCCAAAACAACTCCAGATGCTATTGCATGCTGAGAGACCACAGGATGAGCCCTTCCTAAATAAGGAAGCCCCAGGGAGACGCAGCCCCCAGACTTGCTTCCCAGACCACGGCCGCTAGTGCGGACATGGCATCGGAACAGGGAGCCAGCTGGGTTTCCGAAGCCCGCCATCCTTTGAAGCCTCTCCATGTAGATCACAGCAGGGAGCTGGGCGTTACACAAGCAGTCTTCCCAGCCACGCTTGTACGCTGTTAGTAACAGCAGGCATTACCCAGGCCTGCGCTGAGCGGACCAGAACAAGACTCATGCAAACCTTCACCAGCAGCTCTGACTCTGCGTGTAACTTCACAGCTCAAGAGGGGATTAGAGCTCAGCTGGCTCTGTTCCCCACAAGTTGAAACCAAATGCACATATTTGCAACTCGGACACAGTTCTCTCCAACTGAAGTCAACTTGCATTTCATTTTCACAGGCAATTGGAGCATGATACACCCCTATAACCCCCGCTGAGGCCAGCAGGATTGCAAAAATGTAAATCAGA